ATCGGGTCACAGTTTGTACCTCTCACCCTTACTTGTTTTTGGCAATTCCAGAGGCAACTCAAGTCTTTTATAACGAATCAGCAAAAATTTATTCTTTGCCCGTTCCTGCAGGCTCCATATATGCCAGCTGTCTTACTCATCTCAATATTACTCGGTTAAGCCTCACTACAGTTTATATAGTTAGAGGACAAACTCAGATATGGGTGCCAGTTAATGTAACCAGTGAATGGGAAAATCCCCACGGCATAATAGCGCTTAACAATGTGCTGGCCTCTTTAAGAGTCCGATGGTTTGTTGGCACTTTGATTGCATTTATTGTTTCTGCTATAATTGTCACAGCTACTGTGGCCATGGCAACCGCTGCCCTCATTAGGTCAGTTCAAACTGCTCATACTGTTGATGTTCTCTTAACCAATTCCACCTTAGAAATGCTTCAATAGGCCCAGATTGATCAAAAAATCCTGACTTGACTTTCTGCAGTTGAATCAGCACTCCACTGGATCAGTGAACACCAAGATGCACTAGTGACCTATCAGCGGCTGACCTGTGATCCTGGTTTCTCCAAACTGTGTGTCACCCCACTACAATGGAACTCCAGCCAATACTCCTAGAGTGATATTCAACATCTCCTAAGAGGAGCTTTTTCTACTAATTAAAAAAGACAAATCAATAAATTGCAACTGGGATTACACAAACAGTTATAGGACATTCAACGCTTAACTACACAGGAGATTCTTCGAACCCTTAGTGATAATCTCGGTTCATTAAACCCAAAACACTGGTTTGATGGACTCAACCTGAGACTGTGGGTCACTAGAGCCGCTGGTTGTTTACTGATTTTAATAATGTTTTGCATATTACGATGCATTTACAAATTATTTGCCCAGGGTCACAAAAGAGACCAGAAAGTAGCAAGTCTTGTAGAATGTATCACCACAGCACCCTTAACAAAAAAAAAAAAAAAAAGGGAAGAATTGTAGGGGACCATTTTGTCTTGGCCTGACAAATGTGACTCAGCTCTGTATGGAAAACCTACAGATGCAAAGTGGCGGGCAGGAGCCAGACCTTCAAACCGAGTTCTCCCGTGGGAATCAGGCCTAGAAAATACTTACAGACTGTTATGGCTTGCTTTTGCTAAAACTCCCTCACCCTGGTCTAAAGCAACAAATGTGTATTGTCTATCTTCAAGGTAATTTCCAAAGCCTGTGTGAGCTCTCCCAAGGACAGAGCTAATGAGCTCATTGCTCTCCCCCTCTGCATGTTATTTTTATTTCCTTGATTGTACCTAGAATGTAGACAATAATATTCTATGTATAGATAATAAATCTTTCTCTGATGTAAGACACCAGGAAAACAATAAAAGCCTGTCGAGGCAAGGGTTGGGGTGCTCCCCTCTTGAGGGAGTGGCCGAGGCATCATAGGCACTCTCCCCTTGAGAGAGTAGTTGTGCTGTTCCCTTTTTCCATACAGGATTGTTGTCACCTGTGCTTTCATTCCTGCTCTAAGCCACAACAGGCAGACTCCGCTGGACAGGGTCTGCTACACTGGGGAATTCAGCCCCTTTGACCCTAAGGCTCCGTGGAGCTCTGCTGTGGGGTAACTGTAAGTGTCAGTAGTTGTACAGGACCCTTATCGAGATAGGACTTGATGATTATATTTTAAGTGGTGAGTTTATTAAGCAGAAGGAAAATTGGAAAATATATATTCAAAGTTCAATTTAAGTTTAACATTGTTGTCATTTTTATCATTTTTGACATATTTTTTATTATCTTTCTTGGAAAGTCTCAGTACCCAGTGTTTTTTTCTCTGGGTATAGATTTGTTTTTTTAAATTCATTTTATTTACTTTTCTGCTGAGGTTTTTAAGAGTAAATTATATACAATATGACATTCTGTCTCTAAATTCTTCTATGTACAGCTATAAAAATAAATTTTTTCTTATGTAGCTAAACTAATATCACTTCTAACAAAATTAATACATTCTTAACTGCCATCTAATACCTAGTCCACATTGAAATTAACCTGATTGTCCCTAAATCATCACTATATCTCTTTGTTCAACCCAGATACAACCTGGAATCGTGCATTGCATCTGGTTATAATGTTTCTTAAAATTTACTTAATCCAAACAGTCTGTTTTTTAAAAGTGCTTAAAAGTGATTTATTTTCTCAATCAGTTTAAACACTTTCCTTATAATGTTGTTTAGAAGGTTTAGCTGCAGCAGGCTAGCTCTACCTAAATAATCATCAGGTATGACTCAGTGACAACTGAGCTACTAGAATATGACTCCACATTGAAGCCAGTAAGCCTGAGGGTAATGCTTTGAGGAAGAGGGCAGAGTAAACTCCTGCTTCCCTATGTGGTTGTCAGTCACAGAGGCAGGAGCTTAGTTAGTTGCTCAGTCCTGTGCAGAGGAGAGAAAAGCTCCCTCACCAGGGAACAACACTTGCCATCATCCTATCCCTCCAAGTGGTCTAGTGCCAGTTTCCACTGAGGCAGTAAAGCAAGCAAAGTTACCTTTTGGATAATTTCACCATGATCAAACCATCCCCAGTGGGCAAAACTACTAGAATATATTGTAATTTGATTGCAGTTTGTCTCTAGCAATTATAGATGAGCAATTTAAGTGGCAGCAAAGCAAGCCATGTGCTGGAATGATGCTGTATTTCACAGAGCTTTATCTTTCAACATTTTCTGGAACGTCTGTTTCCTTGGGCGGATTATATGTTCTCTCTTTCTCTCTCTCTTTTTAAATTCTGCAGTTTAAATTCAACACTATTTTGTATTAGTTTCAAATGTATAAGACATTGGCCAGACAGTAATATACTTTACATGGTGATCCCCAGGTATTTCAAGGACCCACCTGAAACGACTCAGAGTTATTACGATCGCATCGACCACACCACCTGTGCTGTACTCTGCACCCCAAGACTGTTTGCAAACCACCAGTGAGAACTGCTCAGTCCCTTTGCTTTTTGCAGCTGACGCCCCAACCCCCTCATCCTCCAGCAGCCATCAGTCTGTTCTGTGTAGCTATGTGTCTGTTTTGCTTGCTGTTTTATTTTCTTTACATTTCACATATAACAAATCACATAGTATTATTGTCTTTCTCTCTGACATAGTTCACTTAGTATAATATTCTCTAGATCCACTCATGCTGTCACAAATGGTAAGATTTTGTTTTTAATGGCTGAGTAATGTGTCATTGTGTGTATGCGCCACCACTTTTTTAATCCACTCATCTATTGAGTATTTTGCTTCCATACTTTGACTCTTGTAAATAATGCTGCACTGAACACAGGGGTGCATATATGTTTTTAAATTAAACATCGCCTTGCCATTGTCTTGTAAAATATCCCGCTTTTGGATTTTTCATTCTGATTGCCTCTGTAGAATGTCTTTAGCTTGTTCTTCTACTCTGTGTATTTCCTGGAAACTGGAAATTAGATCTAAAGGCTGAAGCAAGATGCAGTTGAACATTTTTGTCAGGAATTCATCCTAGGTGATTTGTGTTTTGTGCTGTACCATGTGAAGTGATACATGGCCCCTGCCTGCCTGTCAGTGAGGCTGACTCACATTGATCAGTAGAGTAAGGTGATGATGGTCTGATCCTTATGTTGTGAAGGTACAGGTTCCCTTTGTGAGAAGAGAGAACTCTCTATGCTACGACTTTGGCACTAATATGAACGGCTATTTCCCTGTCATCCATTCTCCTAATACTTTTAATGCTGTTCATCAACTGGGACTGTTTAGTAAAAACAGCGAAATACAATTCTGCTGAAAAGGCAGGTTAAATGTTGAGTTCTTTACCTTTTTTATTCCCAATTTCAAAGGAGTTGGTTTAATAGACACCTTATATGGTGAAAATGACTATTTTTCTTGCTTTCTCTTTTTGGATATCCTTATGGACTAATGAATTTTCATGAATTGAATATTTAATCAATTACAAGTATTATTCTTATTTGTATTCAATTTATTTTCTATTCAATTTATTAAAACTTTACTCTGTGGTAATCTCTCATAGTTGGTTCCTATGCCTGTTAGACATAACTTTATTGATTTTTGAGCACTTTCTTGCTTCCTTGAATAGCAAAGTGCATAGCTTTATCTCATAGCTTCCATGTCTCAATGTCAGTCAGACACATTACAAACAGGCCCTCAGACACCAGAATGGTCAGACACCAGAATCTGGGACCATGAAATATCAAACGTTGCTGGAGTGATAATGTTTAAAGACATTTCAGTGGTCTGTTTATTTTTTGTTTTGATATTGAAAGTTTGAATAATGAAAATTCAGGTGGTAAGAGATATCTATACCTTAAAAAATTAATGGGTTCACCAAATTAAAAAAAAACAGACTCACATAAAATGGAATGACAGCTATCAGAGAGAAGCAGTTGGGAACCTGGGTGATAAAGGTGAAGGCATTAAACAAGAAAATACCAACAAACAAACAACAACCCCAAACCCCAAAACTCATAGACATAGATAACAGTATGATGATTACCAGAAGAAAAAAGGGGTAGAGAGAGAAGAAGGTAAAGGAGGGAAAAATGGAGACAAAGCAGAACGGACTTTGGGTGGTGAACACACAATACAATATGCAAATGATGTATTTTAGAATTGTATATTCCAAACCTATGTAATTTTATTATTCAATGTCACCCCAATAAATTCAATAAATTTTTTAAATTAATGGGTTCACATCAGTATTTCCAATTCAATTTTAATATTATTATGTTTTAAAGTAGTTACTTGATTTTATAATTGTATCTTTTATACTGAAAATCTTGACCACCAATAACATTGCTTTAGTTTACAATATAAAGAAAATAACAGCATCAATATTGCTACTAATAATAAATCAAATGCAGTTTAACTTTTCATGATTTTTATAGCATAGTTTGATTTTAATGAAAGAATAAATTTATTTTTTTGTTGATCTCATTTAATTATTTTCCTTTGTAATATGTGTTTTGTCTGTTTCATTTTTGTCATAGGTTGATCATTTTGGATTTAAGACTGATAAAACTTTTAAACAGCGTTACCTAATAGCTGCTCAGCAGTGGCAGAAAGGGGGCAGGTCCATACTTTTCTACACTGGTAATGAAGGGGACATGATCTGGTTTTGCAACAATACGGTATGTACAGATTTGTAAAGTTCCTATACTTTGTTTATCTTTTATCATTATAAACTAGAAAGATATTTTGCAGTATATATGACCAAATATTACTGCACTTAATTGTGAAGTTCTTTAAAAAACAACAAGAAAATAAATTTAATAGAAAAACAGCAAAATAATGTGAATTGGCAGTTCACAAAAGAATAAATACAGATACCCAATAAGCCTGCATGTTCAGCTTTAATGAATTATTCATGAAAAGAATGAAATACTATATCTAGACAATTGAATTTTAAAATATTTTTTATTATAGTTTATCTCTAGAGTAAACAAGATATGAGAAAAATGGAAACAGGAATATTATGGCATGTAGTTATTTGAATTTTGTTTATATTATGATCTCTGGAATGTAAATACAAAGGCACAAATTTTCATGTTTCTTTAGTATTAAAGACACAGAGTCCAGGACTGGTAGGTGTATAGTAGGTGTTCAGTAAATATTTGTTCAGTAAATGAATGAATAAATCCTGATCAAAGCCAATGCAAAGAAAATATACAAGTTTAATTGTTGAATAGGAACTGACAAAGTTAAAGTTGTAGCTATATTTGAATTTAGCTTTACTATTTTATCATTTTTTATATTTATGAGGGTTAAGAATGGTATAGTTGTTAGCTTGCTTTCTTTACTATGTTTTCAATTATCTATTATGTTCTATTATCTATCTATTATCTATTCCATTTCTATGTTTTCTTTTATAATAATATTTAAATTCTTTAATAAGACTTAATTTAGAAGGACACATGATATGTGCCAGAGCTATGACTAGAAAATGTAACTGTTCTACCAAAAACCTAGATGTGAATTATGTTAAAGTGGGGGTTGAATCCTATCTTCTCCACTGTAAATGTCTGACATTGTGCTTGGTACTCAGGATGTCTCAGTAAATGTTGAACTGAACTAAACTGAAAGCAAAGATATGAACCCAGTTATACTGTGTTATTGTCTGACACATTTCTGATTATTTCCTTAGTAATGTGAAGGGTATAAATATGTTACATGAAAATAAAACAATTCCCTGAGAAATGAGAAGCTAGGATAGCTATTCTCTTAGATCAGAGACGAGTGAAATCAGAACTTACTTTCTGTCAGATGCCTGCCCTGGTATTCTGTGAAACAACTGAGTCTGCCTTGTCTGCCTTTCTCTTTCTGTGTGACTTCCCTTTTGTGCCAAGGCCACAGGGCAGCTTCTCCAGTCCAGGGATGTCCCCAGCTCCTGTTTTTCTGTATCATAGGCTGGGGGCTGTTCCTGCCTCTCCCAGCCCTCGCTGGTCTCACTGGCGCTGCAGTGAACTGAAGGCTTGTTGGGGAGTCTGACCTCAGAAGTGGTGGAAGGGAGTAGACAGTGTAGGAGCAGCATTCCAGAGGACTGGCTAGACAGAGCCAGTTCCTGGAAGGACAGATGCTGGTCCTTTCCCAGCCCTACACACCTTTTCACACTTCCTAAAGTGTTCTAGTTACGTATTCACATATTCTGGACATTCATTTTTCGAGAGCCAGGATGTCATAGTAGTCAAGAATGAAGACTTCAGCCGACTGATAAGGTTTGAATTTTGGTTTTGCCATTATGCTGTGTGACTCGGGGCAAGTTTCTTATTCAGTGCCTCAGCTTTCTCATCTGTTATATGGTATAATAAGAAAGTTTAGTTTATAAAGTTATTCTAAATAAGAATCAGGCACTTAGAGCAATGCAGACACATCATGTTACTAAATGTCAATGTATTACATGGGCCTCATTTGAAAAATAATGCCCTGGCTGGTGCAGCTTAGAGGATTGAGTGCAGGCTGTGAACCAAAGGGTTGCTGGTGTGATTTCTGGTCAGGGCACATGTCTGGGTTGCAGGCCAGGTCACCAGTGGAGGGTGTGTGAGAGGCAACGACACATTGATGTTTCTCTCCCTCTTTCTCCTTCTCTCTAAAAATAAATAAATAAAATCTTTAAAAAAAAAAGAAAAATAAAATACTGAAGTTGAGACAAATAATCACTTATTACAATGTGAATCAGTTCAAATAAATTGCTTCTTCTCAAAGCCTGGGGTCAAGTCCACAGAGGTCTGGCTGCTATGATGGATGGTCCTTACCTTTAATAATCTCATAGTCTGGTAAGGGTAAGACACACATGTAAGCAAATATTGCATCTCAGTAATAGAGATCTGTACCTAGCACAGTGGTGTTTAGAGGAGGGAGTGATAAGCACCGCCACGGTGTGGCAGGCAGAGGATGATGCCCTTGAGCTGGGTGTTACAGGGTCTAGAGATAAATGGCAGGAATGAGTAGGGTGTTGATCACAGTAGGGAGAAGTGAGGTTATTGAGATCATCACAGATCAGGTCAAATTCTTCATTTTTACACACATACAGCAGCTCTTTTAATTGTCATTATTGATCAAAACACAAACTTTTAGAATTTCTTAATCTTTGTTAGGGAGGAGCAGCACATTAAAAGCGAAAATCTGCAGTAGGGATGACAAATAGTTTGAATGTATGCTGAATCTAAATGTAATCGGTGCTTGTTGGCTGCCTAGAATGCTTTGTTGAGAACATTCTGAGGACACCACTGATATGAGTGAAAAATTGCAGTGACTGATTAATGATGACCAGCAGTGTCTGTGGAAATAAGAATAAGAATGTCTTACAACCCTGGGTGACTGTGCTCTGGAGCCAGATAGCCCATGTGTGAATTTTAGTGCTGCCACTTCTAGCCGTGTGACCATGGCAGGTTATTTAAACTCTTGTGCCTCAGTGACCTTGTCTGTACAATGGGAGTAATCAAAATGCATAGCTTGTATTGTTGTGAAATTAAGTGAATTGATACTATATAAAATGTTTACAACAGTGCCTGACACACTGTAAGCACTCAGTTAATATTAGCTAGTGCTAGTTCCTATTTCTTTTCCAGCACATAAGATTCATACGAAAACCTTAAGTGAGTCGGGTGTGCCTATGTGTACTGTTTTCTCTCTTATGTTATAAATGTCTAAGAGTAGACAGTGCACTCAGATATCCTCAGCTCTTATTAGGTTATTTGACAAACAGTACAATTTTAAGACTATTTTAGAAATTACGTTGATTCTATGGCTACAGTATCAGAATAAGGAGAGTTGGGGTGACTTGTGGTTAAACATCTTGTGCTGAGTTTTAATTGTTTCACTATAATACAGTGTGAGACTCATGTGTGACACTGAAATAGGAATTTTCTCATTTATTTGTAGAACAAATACAAATTAGGTAGTTTTCAGAGACCTCTTTTTGGTCTGATTTAACATTTAAATATGAGTCATAAAAAAGTTTAATGACTTTTTTGATATCCTGATTTTATCCTCTGAATTTGTAAATTCTTCCTAGGGGTTCATGTGGGATGTGGCTGAGGAAATGAAAGCTTTGTTGGTGTTTGCTGAACACAGATACTGTGGAAAGTCACTACCTTTTGGTGCCAACACACCCAAAGTAAATATACTTTTCACTTGTAGGTTAAAAGTTTGTGTAAATTTTAAAACAATTTCTAATTACAGTTGTACTGTAAAAAGGACATAATAGCTTTAATCGCACTGCCTAAGATTTCTATTATTTGTATTTTATCTCTCACTTTTAAATGTAATTTGAACAGATTATGATTTTTAAAACCATATTTTTATTATTTCTAATGTTGATCAGTCTTTAAGTCAGTGTGATGAGGCTAGTCTTCCCAGGTGAGTCTTAATCTATGGCTGTAGAGACTGTGGGGAGAACTCTTCATTGTTTCTAAAACATCAGTAAATTACACACTTCAATAATTCCCTTTACCACTGGGAAATATATGAGAACTCAAATGTTTGTCTAATAAGGTGTTTTTAGTAAATTAAGGACAATCTATGATTCATTGAGGCCAGCTGGCCACTTGGATTCCCTTTTGGCCTTTCCCGTTCTCACAAGGAGCTTGGGCCTTGGCCATAGACTCTACACCTGATAAACCAGGACACCAGGACACCTTTTGCTCAGCTGCGTCATTCCGGTGATACCCTTGTGATTCTGGCTATGTGATTTTGTCATCTATGCTGTTATTTACTTAATGCTTTCCCTTAAGCAGTTCGCTTTTCAACCTTAGCACTACCTTAACAAGGGCTTTATGTACTAGTTATATTTTCTAAGTTATATTAAAACAACTATTAAATTAAAAATATTTGTGTAATACCTAAGATCATTATACATACCGCCAGTGTACACATACCATGCTTTTGAGGAACTCTGAGTTAGAAGATTTTGAGCTCAATTATTTTTCTGAACTGTCTGTTTTGAAAAGAGTTTTTTATTTTTGTCCTCAGAGGTTTTATTATCCTGTATTATAAATAAAGAAAAACTCCTTTGTCATAAATGATAAGCAGACAATTTGTTGATATTTGTGGGCTGCACGTGAAATTACTTTTTAGCTTATTATTTTGCATAATTATCTGACTGTGGGGAGATGACAAGTCCTGAAACCATTGGGAAGAAGTCAGCTTGTGGCAGATACAAACATACCTCCTCTCCTGGGTCCCTATGGTTCATGCTTTGTTAATAAAATGGAGCTGAGAGCTCTCTGTGATAAACTTCTTCTCTTTGTGTGCTAACAAATTCCTCAGTCACTTGGGGGATATTACAAATATTCCAGAATTGGAAAAAAAGTTCTCTCAAGAATACAAGTGCTGTGAAAACAAAGTGAGGGGTAGTGCCAGACAGTGAGGGGGAGGTAGGAAGTCAGAAGGCTGAAGGAGTAGCTGACACACATAGAACGATGGGAACTGTGTGATCCGATGTGCCAGATGATGGGAGGAGTCAAACAGAGTGGTGAGACCAAAGCGTGAAGGCCAAATAGGGTAGCCTCGAAGAGGTCTGCAGCCATAGCAGTTATCAATCACTGTGTACCTATTTCCTCACACCTTTGTAGCCTAAAACAACAGCCGCCATTTATTATCTCACAGGAATTAAGAGTGACTCAGCTAGGTGGTTCTGTTTCAGGGGGTCTTGTGAAATTAAGATGTCAGCTGGTGGTGCAGTCGTCTGAAGGCTTGCCTGGGGCAGGAGGTCCCTCTCCTCTCATGGAGGGTCCATGTAAGTGACAGACTGGTACTGGATGTTAGCAAGAGGCTTGAGCTCGTCTCCCCCGGGTTTCTACAAAGGCCTGCTTAAGGAGCCTCTCAACATGGTGGCCAACTTCCCTCAAAGTTGACAATGGGAAGAGCAAGGTGAAACTACTGTGCTTTTTATGACCTAAGATTGGAAGTGACAAAGCATTTCTGTCACATTCTATCTGTTAGAAACAAGTCACTAAGTCCAGCCCAAGTTTAAAAATAGAGGAATTAGGCTTCACCTTATAAAGGGAGATATCTCATTAGTCTTCCTAGCTTAGCAAGACTCTGTTTGAGCTTCACCTCCCTACACTGCAGTGGGAAAATGGCCCCTGGGCAGAGACCTAGATGGTCATGGAACTTACTCTATGAGTGTCCTTCTCTGAGCTCTCTGTGTCTCGTGTTGCTGTTTTATAACGCCTGAAAATAGTTGCTCCATAGGTTGTTTTTTTTTTAACTTGAATTTTATAGTTTACAATAGGCAGGCTAATTTGTTTTAGAAGTTGGTATATCAGACTTAAATTTTTTTCTGATAAAGAAGGGTGAATTTCATTTCTAGTAACAATTCTTACTTCAGCTTTCCACATGATTTAGCTTACCATTGCCTACATGGTAGCCATTTAAAATGTTTGAAGATTTGAAATAAAAGTTATAGCAGTTATCTATTCAGCTTAGTATTGTATTCTATGACATTTGCTGTTAAACATATTTACATCCATTTCTATTGTTTCTATAAACTCAGCAAGGTATTTGGTAAAAAACATTTAATAGAAATTATATCTGAATGCAAAATACATTATGCTCTCTCTACAAACATAAAATCTCTTTAAATCAGCACTGCTATGGCTTTGACCAGGCATTTTAACTCAATTGCCTAAAAGCCTATTTGGAGAAAAGCTTATCTGACTCTGGCTTTTTTCTGGATCTGCACTATGCCTAAGCTGCTATTATCTGCACACTCATACCCGTGTTCTTTGTTATTTATTTATTTTTTTAGGATTCCAGGCACTTGAATTTTCTGACTTCAGAACAAGCTCTGGCTGATTTTGGAGAGTTAATCAAACACTTGAAAAGGACAATCCTGGGAGCTGCAAATCAACCTGTCATTGCCCTGGGGGGCTCTTACGGTGGCATGCTTGCAGCCTGGTTCAGGATGAAATATCCTCACGTGGTGGCTGGGTAAATGCATTTATGTTGGACAGGAGAACTTCTAAGTGGTTGTCAAGGCAAACCTAGAGATTTAGTTTGGGTAAAACACGTTCCATTCTATTATACTGAGATTTCTAGTCTCTATCTCATTAACAGCTATCAATTATTTTATCATCATTTTTGAATAATGGATGTAAAGTGTATAGATTATAGAGTTATATAACTTAGAAATAAGACCAACAGTTGGTGTAAATGGAGTAATTACTTGAGACAAGTCCTGTGCTATGCCTTTTGCATATTCAGTTTATTAATCTTTGTGATGTATGTGAGATATGTAGATCTATGTAATATACGGTCAGTGTTTAATGAGTGGCAGCTGCTATCATAGCACTGTGATTCAGGCAACTGCTTCTGTACTATAGTGCTACATACATCATAAAGGGTCATCTACCTACAGGGGCGTGGAGTGGAAAGAGCAATGACTCTGGATCCTTTTACCATTCACCAGTGGTGTGATCTGGGCAAGGCTCTCTTCCTCCTGAGCCTTCGTGTCTTCCTCTGCAGAATGGGATACTCATACTTACATTTTCCTTAAGGTTACACTAGTATCAGATAAAATATTGGATGTGAATATACTCTGGAAAGTGTAAAGACACATTACACCATAAATGTTAAGTTTATTTTAGACCAAAATCTGTTATTGTATGTGCTCTTCTTAAAAGATGCCATTGTAAAGAACATTCCTCTTAGTTTTAAAAACAAAGGCTGGCCAACTTGATAGTTATTAAGTTTAGAGAATATAACTGACTCTGCAACTGGAATGAGTGCTGGAAATGTAAATAGAATTGGTAATACAAGAACCGGATCTCGAAAGCACTTTTACTATAACTGTCCCCTTGAACTATTGAATGCACACCTTGCTTAAAACTTTGTAACCCAAATGGAACAAGTTCGATTGCTGTTAGAGATATTTTTCTCCCTCTAGAAAGTATAATGACCACTGGGTATCTCGCACATACCAGGCCTGAGGTCAATGTGTCTTGAAGTAAATTGAATTTTGATAATACAAAATTATTTAAAAGAGCAGATCTCTCTCATGGTAGGAAAACCTGAATCAAAATAACGAGAAAAACCAAATCTGAACTAATTTGTTTCCATATATGTCTATGTGCTAATAATGCATTTTCCTTTCATATTATTTTACTATTTACAAAGCACTTTATTTCTTCATTGATTCTGCTATTACAGTTGTCCTTGTTTTTACACTTTTGCCCCCTTCCACTCCAAATAACCTATTCCCTAAGGCAATCCCCCAACCATTGCTCCTGTCCATGGGTCAGTCATGCATGTAAGTTCTTCAGCTATTACATTTCCTACACTATACTTTACATCCCCATGGCTATTCTGTAACCACCTATTTGTACTTCCTAATCCCTTCACTTCTCACCCATTGTCACCCACCTGCTTCCCAACTGGCAACCATCTGGTACCTAACTTCTTTTCTCTTGCTACTTTTAAGATTCTCTTTTATCTTTAACCTTTGGCCTTTTAATTATGATGTGTCTTGGAGTGGGCCTCTTTGCATCCATCTTGTTTGGGACTCTCTGTGCTTCCTAGACTTGCATATCCATTTCCTCCACCAAATTAGGGAAGTTTTCTTTCACTATTTTTTCAGGTAGACTTCCAGTTTCTTGCTCTTTCTCTTCTCCTTCTGGCACCCCTATGAAGTGAATGTTGGACCCCTTGAAGTTGTCCCAGAGGCTGTTTATACTACCCTCATTTTTTTGTATTCTTTTTTCTTGTTGTTCTGTATGGTTGTTTTTTGCTTCCTTATGTTCCAAATCATTGATTTGATTCTCAGCTTCATCCACTCTAGTGTTTTTTCTCTGTAAATTGTTCTTTATTTCAATTAGTGTAGACTTCATTTCTGACTGAACCTTTTGTATGCTGCTTAGGTCCTTATTAAGTTCCTTGAGCATCCTTATAATCAGTGTTTTGAACTCTGCATCTGATAGATTACTTATATCCATTTTGTTTAGCTCTTTTTCTGGAGTTTTGATCTGTTCTTTCATTTGGGCCATGTTTCTTTGTCTCCTCATTTTGGCAGCCTCCCTGTGTGTGTTTCTATGTATTAGGTAGAGCTGCTCTGACTCCATGTCTTGGTTGTGTAGCCTAATATAGTAGGGTGTCCTGTAGAGTCCAGTGGCATAGCCTCCTCTATCACCCAAGCTGTGTACTTGAGGTACACTCTTTCTGTGGTCTGCATACACCCTCCTCTCGTAGTTGAGCCTTGGTTGCTATTGGCAGATCAATGAGAGGGATTTATCCAGGCTAGTCAGCTGGGAGAACTGGCTGTGACCACTGACCACCAAACTCTGCCCTCCATGGAGGGTCAGCTGGGTAGGGGCAGTGTGGTGGTGCTCTGATGTGATCTGTAGCTATCTACTGGGTGCACTGAACCTGGGGTTTCCTGGGTGGTGCAGGCCAAGTTCAGCCCCATCCTGTGTTTTTTCTGGGGTACCCTGCTTGAGCTATAAAGCAACCTGAGGTGGCTTCTACTTGTGCTGGGATTAGAGATTCCCAGGTGAAGCCATGTTGTGGATCTAATCTGGTCCATTAGTGCTGGGCCTGGGGTTCACTGAGGCCAGCTGTTGCCTGTTTGAGAGGATTTAGGAAGTTGTGAAGTGTGAGCCAAGACCAGTCATTCCTATGGAAAAGCAGATTGGGTGGGCCCCATAAAATGGATGAGCCAGAGTCTCTAGGGCTCTCCAAGGCAAGTCAGGCAGTGTTATCCAGGTTGTTGGAGTCTTAGGTATGGCCCCAGTTTATCAGCTCTGTGAGGGGAGAGTTTAGAAAGGGACAATGGCCTCTGCTTGCCTTGGTGCCAGACACTTCAGTTTCTCCCTGTGTGCCACTGGTGCCTTTCAAGCTGCTATCCCAATGCTGGAACTCAGATGGAGTGACTGAGTAGGTGAGTCAATGTGTGGGTTCTCTCAATGGAACAGCTTGAGGCTCTAGCATTTTCTTCTACCAACTCTGATCCCACTGGTTTTTGCAGCCAAAAGTTGTGGGGACTTATCTTCCGGGCATTGGAATCCTGGGCTGGGTGCCCGGTATAGGTCTGGGACTCCTTGCTCCCAAGATGTCCCTCCCCAATCTTTATCCACCATGTGTGGGTGTGGGACCAGCCTGTGCTGCACTGTGCTTCTCCTGCCAGTCTCAATGAATGTGGTTTCTTTAATTCTGTAATCGTCAGACCTCCATTCAACTAGATTTCTGATGGTTCTGAGTGATGGTTGTTCTACATTTTAGTTGTAATTTTGATGTGGTTGTGGAAGTGGTGAGCCTTGTCTGCTTATCTTGACTGGAAGTCTACAAAGCATTTTCTTAGACACTATCTCATTTAATCCCCACAAAAGTACTGTGAGAAAAGGAGGCATAATCCCAGTTTTATGGAGAGGAAATTTAAGCTCAACGAAGAGGTAAGGATGTAGAATTGAACTCAGGCCTACCGTTGTTCTGAGCCTATGATCTACCACATTGCACTGGGGTAGGACAAGACTTGTCTAAAGGTTTCGGTGGATTGCTGGCCACAGTGTGACAGCCATCAGATTTAATTTTGTCCTCTGTATCCACAGTAATAATTACATCTGCATCTTTGCCCACCTGAGAACAAATGAATTGTCAGATGGTAAAAACATGGGGAATTCTCTTGTTTTTTAGAATGGGGTTTGGCAAACTATCTATGAAGGACTAGATAATAAATATTTTAGGCTTCGTGGGCCATATGGTTTGTGTCACAGATACTGAAGTCTGAAGTATAGTTAAGAAAGTAGCAGAAAATAGCCATAAACAATGTATAAATGAATGAGGATGACTGTGTTCCAATAATACTTAGTTATAAAATAGTCAGAGGGCTGGATTTGGCTGGGGACTGTAGTTTGCCAACCCCAATTTAGAAAAAAAAAGCTACAAGAATATAGCTTTTTAGTATTCATTTGTTTATGATTTGGAACAGTGTACGGTCTAACTTTGGTTTCTTTCCCATTTCTTTAATATTCCTTTTAAGATACTTTTCTGTTGAGTCTTAAATGTAAATAAATATTCTATTTTCCCCCTTTAAATAATCACTCAAAGCGAATGGAGTATATCTCACATATTTAGTCACCTGTTTTTGATTTAGCACAGTCTGTCTTTCTTTTAGCTTCTGTATATATGAATTATAAAAGTTCATTTTTAAGACAAGATAACTTTGTGTCTGTCCCAAAGTCAACTTTTACCTTTTAATCCAGGATGAGTTTTTGTCATTTTCTTCAATTATTTCTTATTGCCTTTATACTTCATTTTGACATTTTAGGAATTGTTGATTGCTTGTAATATATTTTGATTCTGTTTCCTGTTGGTACCCCACCAAAAATAACCTCTCTTTGCCTCTTATTTGAGAAATTTTGACTACATCAATTTTCAGTTTCATTCTAAATGATTTCAGAATTTTCTACTACATGTCTCACTCCCAGACTTGTAGCTTCAGATCACTTTCTTTCACTGTTCATTCTGTTTCTCCTTTCTTGACCCCTCTCTGTTCTCCCAGCCCACTAATCCCCGGAACACTACCCAGTCGGGTCCTCTCTTTCACTTGGATAGTTCCATTTAACCAGGACTCCTCCTCCCTCTGATACACTTCCTCCTTTTTAAAGGGCTGACAAACAGCTGTCCTTTTCTTTTGTTTCTTTTAAAGTTTCCCTTTTATATTATTTCATTTTTAATTAAATGTATTGGGGTAACATTCATTAATATGAATATATAGGTTTCAAATGTACATTTCTCTAGTACATGATCTGTATATTTTGTGTGCCCACCACCTAAGGTCAAATCATCTTCCATCACCATATACCTGACACTCTATACCCTTTACTAATCTCCCACCCTTCCCTCTGGTAACTGCCATACTCTTGTCTGTGTCTATGAGTTTGAGTTTTATATCCCACTCTGACTTAGGATGCTGAGATAATAAACAACAGTTGGGTTATGGTAAAAAGCAGGTGATTTCCAGTTCTGTCTGGACTTTGTAATGTTCTGAAGGATTCATGGGCAGTGACCGAATGCCATTTTCTGTGTCAACTCAAGTATCATTCTTTCTAATTTGTCATTGGACTTTGCACACTGAGACTCCATTTGCTTTGTTTACTGTTAACAGCAGCTGCAGTATTCATGCAGAAGTAATCATGGATGTGGCTGATAGAACCCACGGAAGAGGAGAAGAGGGAAATAGGACACACCTCTGTCAGTGGACTGCTCTGTTAGCAAAAAACTACTAGGTCTCTTCTCAGCTTAAAGAGCACTCTTAAAGGATATTGCAGAGTTTATTTATTTTGGAATCATTTTTCTTTAGCTGGCAACTCACCCAATCTTTTAGCTTATCCTTCTGAGCATGCAGATAGATGTTGCGAAATAATAAGATATAAAGTGGAAAATCTCTTCCGTTTGTCTTGGTTTGGTAATGTATGCGACCTCTCTTGGGTGGTTTTAAGCGGTTTAGGTGCATTCTATGAAAAGGGAGCTTTTAATGACAAAACTAATGTGATTATCTGAGTGAGTGTGAGAGGGGTATTGAAGCCCCAGAGAATGAAAATCTGTTAGAAAAGCTGAATGTATCTGCTTAATCCTTTCTCTAATGTGGATGGGCCTTACTCTCTGAGAGATTGGTCTTTTTATTTAAACTATCTTCTTTCCTTCATCTTTTAAACATTTTTTGCCTCCCTTTTCTTTCTTTTATTCAAATGCTTATCCTTATAGGTGGGGGACACAAGGCTTTTCAGGAAATCATTACTTTTACTTTCTCTGGTGGTGTTCATGGGCTCAAGGGGCAGAACTTAAATATTTGGGTGCAGAGCTGGTCAGTTTAGTGCTAAGGTTAGAATGTGCTGTTATTTCCATGATTTCTACCCTCTTAAAAACCACACTTATTAAAATGGACTTCTAATGCTCTTTATTGTTTTTTCCTGATTATTTTACTTTTGTTCCAGGAAGTAGAAAGTGAATTAAGTCTATTTCATGTGATTCTTAAGCCTTTTATTACTGTTTTACAGTTTTCTTCTTACTATAGCATAATAAAAAAGTTTTATGATTTTATAGTGCCCAAGAATCCCTTCCAAGTTTTTACCTAAAAAACCGTCTTGGAAAAATATAAAGACAATCTAAGAATAAAAGAAATTTGTATAAAAATTAACTGTGGAAATAACCATGGGATGTGAAGTACAGCATAGGAAATATGATCAGTAATATTGTAGTAGCTACAGAGGGTGCCAGGTGAGTACTAGACATTGGGGGATCGCTTTATAGATTATATAAATATCTAACCACTGTGACGTACACTTGAAACTAGTATCATAGGATATTGAACGTCACCTGTAATCAATATAAATAAATAAATAAATATGCATGAGATTACAGGTGTACTTAGGTAATGTTTGTGTTGTTATTGATCTCATACACTAAAAATGCCAAGTTGAGTATGTGTAGCTTAGTGATTACAAATGGGAGCTTCCGAGGAAGTCTCTTTGAATCTCAGCTTTTCCATTTCCTGGTTGTGTGGCTTTGAAGTCTCTCAACTACTGTGTGTTTTAGTTTTCTCATTGTAAAATGGGAATAATAGTAATTGTAATACTTATTAGTGTCATTAATAAGTAATAAGGTTTAATAGGATGACATATAATTAGGCACTAAATTTATGTCAAATAATAATAATAGCTATTATTGCTACTATGTAATACGAGGGAGACAGATTGTTATTCCCAGGACTCTGTGGCCTGAGTCTCGGTTCAGAACCTATAGCCACAGTTTTTAAGTGATGTGTCTGTAGCCAGACCTCTCTAAACTGTTTATTCCTCCATGAAATGGGGACTGTCCCTATATGTTTCTCCCTGTGCCACTCTAGGGAAAGTACCTGGCCCCCAGGGACATTGAATAGTTGTACTAGCAGCCTCAGTCACAGCTGACCCCAAATAAGTGAATTTATGGCCTTAAGCAATGCCTCATGTAGAAATTGTTTAGAAGATACTGTTTGCCAGTGCCCACAAAATAAATAGGAAATATAGTACAGGGGCTACCTTCGTGCTGAGTATTTTGGGTGGAAGTGGTTGGCAGGGACTCTTCTTCTTGTCTGATTAGATCATGGCCCCCAAGTAAACAATCAACAGACTGAGTGCTTGCCCTCAAAAGTGGGTAAGGTCTGCAAATTATCAGGCTTAAGTTGAAGTATTATATGACCTTAACCCAAATATGCCAATATTTGACTGTTTGACTTATAAACATGGAAATTTCACAGGGTTCAACTTAACATTTTGTGCATCCTACAGATCTTTAATGAAAGTATATGAATATCTCCTTTCGAATTACTACAGTCTTTAAATAAATATGGGATAGTGCTAAGGTTTAACCATAACTTCAATATTTCTTGGAAAACTTCACTCTTTGCTACCAAAATTGTTAAGAAAATGCAGAGTGATATGCAGAGATTGTGTTTTTCATGCCAGAAGATGATGCTTGGATTTGTAGTCTCTGAGTTAGCAAAGAACTTTGGAGCCACCTGAAATAATAAAATACCTTTGGTAACTTTTAAAATATTTTGCAAAAAATAATTAAGTGATATTTATCTGGCTTTCTATCTAATATATTTATAAAATTATAAATGGTTACTTCCTTTCTATAGGACAATTTGATAAGAATGTTGTAAAACCTTTAAAAATGCTATTTCCTTTGAACTGGTACTTCTTCTAAGAATTTATCTCAAAAGACATATGCAAATATTTAGCCCCAAGTATACATATTTTGGGCTTATTTGTAATAATGAAAGCTCGAGAATGATACCAATAACCAATTGTAGGGTTTTTTTCAACTGTTCATCAAGCATTGTCAACCGGTGCTGTTCCCCAGCCAGGCTTGTGTCTTTTAAGGAGCGACAGTAACTGCTATTTTCAGATGCTATTCATGGGATCTCCTCTTTTCTTTGCCTGACAGAGGCCCAGTGTTCTAGTGCCGAGAGGGGATCTGATGCCAACATGTGAGTCACACTCACTTGCTACTGTTCTTTTCCAGAGTTTGAGGCCACTTGTTGCTGCAAGTCAGCACCCTCTGTTCCCCCTACCCAGCTTGCATTGTCTCCCTGCCTCATCTCCCATGCTGTGCTTGAACATAATGCTCTTCTCTGCATCCATGTGTCTACTCTAGTTTTGGGCTGCGTTTTGAAAGAGCTGAATCTGCTGTTGGTGTCCACATACAGGACACAGTGCTGATCATCTGTTGGAAATAGTTAATTTAATAAATTCTGTGTTTGATTCTTGATTTCCATATGTTCCTGGGTATTTCTGATTGGCATATTTCTTAGGAAGATTTTCTGAGAAAAGTGTTATGAGCTAGGTATTTTTTGACTTACATTTCCTCATTATTTTAGTCTCAGTGGGTTTGTGAAGCTCTTCATTTAGCACAATTCTGTTTCTCTATGTGCCCTCTAAACCCTAGTGTGTGGTCTCATAGTTACTTTTATAAGGTATGGAATATCCAGTTGTTTGGACATCATAATTTCTGACTTTTCTCACACTTAATATTTCCAAAAAAAGTATTGGGAATAATGCATACTCCATCTCCCCTTTGGAAAGTCACACTGAGTTGAGAATGTTAAAGGCTCTGAGAAATCCTACAGTCAAGAAAACTGTTCACATTTGCTAATAATTTTCCTAAAATTGACTATGAAACAAACACCAAATGTCATTTAACATTACATAGAAATATTGTGCTGAATACATGTGGGGAGTGGCATTTAACTTTTTCTATGATTCTTTTTCTCTGTCTTTTCAAGTTTTCCCTTTTTTCCAGGGAAGTGTTTCTGGAAGCTGGTCCTAGGCAGAACTGTATTGAGAGGTTGTGTTTGCTTGTAGCCACTTACCTCCTCTCTTCACTGACCTCCCTCCCTGATGGGAGCACATCACCGGCCCAGGCCTGGTTGCTCCTGCTGCCCAGACTCTCTCTCTAAAGTGGGGTAACTGAGTTCTTTTTCTCCAGGCTTTTTCTTTTCTGGATCCACTTGTCTCTCTTTTTAAAAATTTTATCAGAACTTGCCTGTTATATATATCTTTTTCATATGAAATGAGAAAAGACCAAACTACTGGGTTCATGTGAAGGTGTTAGCAGAGGATGGAAACTTAATGTGTTTTCCTTGCGATTGGGGCTGTTTGCAGTTTTACAAGGGGCTACAGCCTAGGCTGTGTAGCATAATGGCTCAGATGTGTATTTTGTAACAAGAAAGACTGATGTTGAATCTAGGTCCTGCCATTTATTAGCTGGATGGCCTTGAATAAAGTGCTTTAACCCAAGAATCAATTTCTTCATGTGAAATAATGGACTATAACACATCTGATAGGATTGCTTGAAAATTAAGTGATGTGATGGTTGTAAACCCAGGGCTCAGTAATCAGTAGCTATTGTTGTTGCTATTCAGTTATGATTCCATTGCCTGTGATTTTCCCCTACCACTTTATCGTAAAAAATTTTAAACACAGGAAAGTTGAAATAAGTGGATATCTGTCGGGAAAAACTGCAGTCATTGTTAATTAACAAGAGCAGTTTGGAAACATGAATGGTAGCCAAGACGAGTGGGCTGGAATGCGCATGTGTGAACAATGATGCCTTCACTGTATTAGTCAGTGAGGGTGGTAGATGCCACTGAGTGAGCATGTGCACTGTGTGGCTGTAGCATTCAAAATGACCAAGCAAACAGAGCAATGAGTTTGTAACAAATTTTATATTAAGCTTGAACATTCCTTTGTAGAAACTATTTGATGATTCAGAGGGCCACAGCTATGGACAACTGGTGATTGGCAGCTTCATCACGACAATGTGCCCATTCATGCATCACAGTTAGTGTGGAGTTTTTCGTGAAACACCCCTTTACCCACATGACTCAGCCACCCTATAGCCCAGATTTGGTGCCCTGCCACTTCTGGCTTTTTCCAAAACTGAAATCACCTTTGAAAGGGCAGAGATTTCGGATCACTGATGAGAATCAGGAAAATCTGATGGAGTAGTTGATGATGAATGAGAGAATCGTGTGAAGTCCCAAGGTGCCTAGTTTGAAGGGGACTGAGGTGTCATTGTTGTATGTACAGTGTTTCTTGTATCTTGTATCTTCTTCAATAAATGACTTGCATTCTGAGTACTTACCATGGGTCAGGCACAGAAGGGCTGCAAAGATACAAAGATAAATAAGACGTGCTCTTACCATCAAATGTACCTTGTGAGAAAGAAACATCACTAATATTATAACTGATCTTGTAAGGTTTATAAAGGAAGCATTTTATGGACACATATAAGAAGGAGAGTCTAACTCGATTCTCTCTGAGCCTTTTTTCGTCTGTACAATGAAAATGATAAGAATACTTTCCTTCCAGAGTGGTTTTGAGGATTGAATATGATAATAGATGTGAAAGAAAGCAGTTTACAGGGAAGGAATATATAGCTCTAACTTCTGTGTCTTCTTAGTTGAGCCACCATGAGAGGTGGTGTGGGACAGAGCTAACAGACAGGAGCTCTGAAGCCTGACTGCCTGACATCCAACCCTGACTTTGCTGCTTACTAGCTGTATGACCTTGGACAAGTTATTCAACTTCTTTGTGCCTTATTTTTCACTAGATTCTTCTGGTTTGCTTTCTCAGGCCTGCACAGAAATGGTTATGCCCTTTTGTACAAAAGGGATTGATGACATGTTTGAACCTCACTTATGGGACTTGAAGGAATTTTCAGATGATTGTTTTAAACAGTGGGGTGTGAAACCAAGGCCCTCCTGGATCACTACTATGTATGGAGGCAAAAACATCGGTTCCCATACGAATATCATTTTCAGGTGAGTTTTTATTGGTCCAGAGAAAAACTTGGTTGATGGATACCTTCGTAGAATAGGTGGGAAAATAGAATGAGAAAAAAATGTTGGACAACAAAATGTTATAGAATATACCCAGTGGTATCCTGTTTACTTATTCCTTGAAAGATAGAGGATGTTGGGAGCTTTTGAGATCTTGCTTCTGTGTATGTCATCAATTTGGCTCAACTAAACTCTTAGAAAATTTCCTAAAAAAGAAAGAAGAGGTGGAAGAAGAGAAGAAGGAAGAGAAGAAGAAAGAATGACAGAGGATGCTGAGAAGTATGATTTTACACTCTATTACCTGTTCTACATTCTTAGAGGCTTAAAAACAACCCAGTGACAAAATTATTTTTCAAAAACTGTCCGGCACAAAAGGAAGCATCATTTGTTCTCAATTTGTTTTACTTTTGTTACTATTGTTATTAATGGTAATAAAAAATTATCAGTATGTAGTCAACAGACACTTTTGAAGCTCCCAATCTGTTCTGTTCCAGACACTGTCTGAGGTACTTTAAATAAATTACCTGAAATTGAACCCTTATAACAATCCTGTGAAGTGGTGTGATAGTTCTTCTTTTATTTTAACTGAAGAGGAAAGTGAGGGCCACTGTGTTCAGTCATTTGCCAAAATTCATCCAGCTTTGTTTTAGTTACTGATAAAGCCAAACCTTGGTCTGTTTGACCATAAAAATCCTGTTTGTTCTCCTATGTTACACTGCTCCTAGAGAGACATATTTGGCTTTGGTTCACATCAGAGTTACGTGAGCAGACTCTCTGTGTGTCTGATTGTGACTTCAATATTTCCATGTTTTGGCTTGTACAGCAGGTTGTCAACTATTAAGAATAGCAGCCCTTAAGACTAGCTGTAAGGGTTGTCAGCTAGTTGCTATTCTTAATCCAAAAACTTGCCAAATCTGTATGGAAAGAGTAGAGAGATAACCTTCCATAGATCTTACCCTGGAGCTGTTGTTTAAATGGTATTGAATAAATGTCATTCTTTGACAAGCTCTTAGAGACAAGAGTTCAAACTGCCTTAGGGATGTGCTCAACAGCACTGAAGAGTGGGGAGTGCCGTTCTGATGGAAGGATCGGGAAGGATCGCCATCTGGGTCTAGGCCCATAGCAGGGCCCCCTTTGCAGTCTCTCTGACTGGGTTGGTGCTGTTTTCTCACTCAGTGGGGTGTCTACCCAAAATAAAAGTAGGAACACTTTAATGGAGAACTTAGAGATTCATTTTGTTTAATTTCCTTAAATTGTGTTCCTTGCTCTCAATAGCATTCTTCACAAATATAGTCTTCAGCTCAGCTTTATAAATGAACAGATAAATCTACTTAGGGAATGTAAAGAAACTGCCAAATTCAAGTGTTTGAAATTAGGAAAGTGTGAAAGGACGGAGAGGATCTAAGTTCATTATTGCCCCCCAGAGATTTTCCTTTAGGAGCTAATCTATCTCTATGTAGCATTAATGTAAACTGCTCTCGCACGCTGACACTTTAAATCATCCTCGCTTGTTTTGACCTTATAAAGCTGAAATTTAAGTTGAGTTATAAAGTGGAATCTTTAAATCCTTGTGTGAAAATTTTAATATATGCGTTTTGTCAAATACATCGCACTTGTTTTATTGGATACAACCATCAAAGATATGATTTTAATTATCCATTTGTCCTCTTACATTATTTTCATCAAGTCATCAGTATAACAGTCCTCCTTCTCCTCATCACTGGGAGCAGTTCTGATTTTGTGAGAAAAGTTTAGGGAATAGAACTGAACCTTATAGGTGGAAATTATAGCTCAGTGTTACAAGTTTTTAGTTCAGTGTGAGAAAGGACTTTCTAACAGAGCTGTGCAAAGGTAGAAATGAGCTGTCTTAAATAAAATTACTCAAGTTCTCTTTGATCCTCAGTTTTCTCTCCCAAAAAAAATGAGAATAATTATACCACTCACTCCATAAACTTGTCATGCTTAAAAGTGTTACTCCCATGAATTACTTGTCCCTGAAGTACTGGTTTATTTGTCCCTGCATGTCCTTTTCCTCCTTTTCTTAAGACACAGGCGACCTCCAGGAAACCCTCCCTGACTCCCTCAGGGAGGTCAGGTTTCTGTACCCGCTTAGCTCCCAGGGCCTGTGACTGTCACCAGCACTCTGTGTGGAAATTATCTGTCCGTGTTTCTGTCTACCCCATGAGACTGTGGACTTCTTAATGTCAGGGACTGTCTGAATCATCTCTGTACCTTTAGCACCTGCTACAGTGACTGGCACATACTGAATGTACAATCAATGTGTTGGTAAAAACGAGGAATGAAATACAAAGCTCGGGAAGGCGTCAGAGGCACGTGAAAGGTTAAAGATGTGAAGATGCTGGTTAATCCACTTCTGCAGCGCCAAGTCTACTTTTTTAAAAGAAATCTTTTTTATATGTTGCTTGGTGAAAACTCCAGTGCCAATTTTTTTAAGTTACTTAAAAATTCACAATTTTGCTTTTCTGAAGAAAGCACTTTTGCAAAGTAAGGAGCAGCCTCAGGTGTCTCTGTGCTGTGTACTTAATGGCTACCTGCTAGAAAACACTTCTGGTTGGTGAGTGAGAAAATGTCTTATGAAGAGCCATGTGAAAATATCTTTATGTTCATGCTTCCCTCCTTACATGCCTCCCACAAACGCATGACTGCTTTTCTGATTGGGAAGTTCAGTCCATAATTGGAGATTTGCCAGTTAAGAACTTGGGCTTTGAAGTCAGAGAGACTACGGTGTTGTTCTGCTTCTTCACTGAGTAAGCTGTGTGGCCTCAGGCAGATTGGCTAGTTATTTAAGGTAGAAATTGTGAGTGCCTGACAGGGTCATTTCAGGGAGTGGTTAGACTATTATGGAAGGGAGCACCATGAGGGCAGAGATTCTGTCTGTTCACTGCTGAATGCCCTGTGCCCAGTCAGTGCCTGGTACAGAGTATGTAACAGGGCGCAGCCAGAAGGTGGCTCCCCCCCCCCCCAAAAAAAAAAAAAGGATTTGGGATGGGGTCCAGAGCTCAGGGTGTCCAGGAAATATTATGATGTCCTCACCCCCACCCACCAGGTGTCAGTTGGGGGAAAGGGCAAATGGAGCAAGGCCATTGAGAGCTGTTTTTTGCATAGCAACAGTTTTGTAGCTAACCTCTGGAATGGTCATTTAACATATCTATAATCTTTAACTGGTTTCATTGATATGTTAAATGGCTGTGGCCAAGTTTTGAGCCAGGGAGAAGGGAGTGGTTTCTACGCAGGATGTAACTGGGGGCTGGTCCCCTGAGTTACAGCACCTGTGTGAGAGCTTGGAGTTGATTGGCTCCACGCCATGGGGCCACACCTGCCCAGACACTATGGCAGCCCAGTAAAGCTGGGAGGATATGGAAATCCTGGCAGGTGTAACCAATTGTAGGAGGAGTCGAGAATGGGGCTGCAAAGGAGGATGGGTGCAGAGATTTAACCTCAGACGCAGCAGCCGTTGAAGGAGAACCATGTGGTTTTGGCCAGAATGTAGACCCCTGCAGCCAGGTAAAGAAGAAAGCCACACACTTTTGGTCAGAGTGCTGACCCCTGCAGCTTTGGTAGAAGAGGCCCACGCGGCCTTGGGATGCTCCCTTTGTCCGTGTGGCCTGGGAAGCAGGAGAGACTTTGACTGGAAAAATGGGTACAAAGAACTCTTGCCAGTGGACCGGGAGAAGGTGCCATATGACTTTGGATTAACTGGAGATCCTGCCTGCACGGCGACACAGCTGACGGTACCAGTGGCCTGAAACACAGACGTGTGCTTCTTTTTCTGAGATACGGTACCCTGAATCTGGGCAGGGGGAGAAGGAAGTGCTGTGGGCGTCTGTGGTTATCCTAAAGGACTTTGATATTTTAATGGGGACATTGGGTCACTACTTTTAAGTCTGTACAGCTTTAAATAAACCTTTCCTTTCCTTTTCACAAATCTCTGGCATTGAGAGATGTCTTTCCAATTGGCGGTAGACAGAAGAGCCCAGTAGATATTAGTATACCGTCCTTGGGAGGGGCCCCTGTTGTTCTGTAGCAGTTTTTGGTATCCCTAGGTGGGCCAAATATTGGCCCCCCCTCTGTTGGACCTCTGTTTGGTAACAAGTAGGCACTCAGTAAACACTTGTTGAATGAATGAGGATTGAAAAAGCAATAGCTATTAATAGTTCACTTCAGCATTTAAACAATTTCATAGTGGTTTTGTTGGAAGGATTAATTTTTCCCCAACCCCAAACGATAAGGTATTAAGTCAGTGGTCATTCTCAGTTACTTAAATATAAATTCTGAAAGGCAATTACTGAGAAGCTGATTAGTTTAATATCATATTTCAGAAAAATTGTTGCCAGCAATTAAGTTCACTGGTGGGAATTTTATCTGGGCATCTAATTCTCTCATGAAAGTCATTATTACTATTTTTTTTTAAAAACATTCCCCGGTGACTTGTTTACATTTCACTTGTATAGGACCAAGAAATTCAAGTCCACATGCATTTTAGGTCGCTCAGCAACTCCAAACACTGTTGCTAAGTCACTGGGCCGATTCAGATGACCTTTTAAATCAAATGCAGTTTACTTGCCGTGTGGCTGTTAGGATGGCTTTTTTGTTTTGCAAATAATGGAGAGTTTCCTATCTGGGCTTGTTCTGTCAAATGGGAATAATGATAAAGGCTAACTGTTCACTTAAGAGAATCCAACCCCTTGGGTAGTTTACTTTAGAAATTGATCTGATAGTTAAAATTTAAGGATCCTATTTTGCATGTGCATTTTCCCTCTTTAAAAAATCACTTATTGATTTTAGAGAAAGAGATTGAAACATTGATTTTTTGTTGTTGTTGTTGCTCTTACTGCTTGATCAAGCATTCATTGTATGTGTCCTGACCAGGGATCAAAACCACAGCCTTGGTGTGTTGGAACAACATTAAAAATCTGAGCTACCTGGACAGGGCTCCTTTTTGTTTTTAATAACAGCAAACA